GCTCCGGTTGGGGGCGGTTTTAACCCGAGGCGGGGGCTGGCCCCACCCCGTGGAAACTTTGGGGGCATGCGGTGGGACCTTGTGGGGCGGTCCCCGTTAGGGTTCTGGCGGGGGTGGGGGGCTTCGTCCAGGCTAAACACTCATGGGGAAAGGAGCCAAGGGTGGGAGGGTCTGTTCGTGAAGCCAGGGCGACAGAGGGACCCTCTCCCCTTTGGAACTTGCCCCAGAGATCCCCTCTCCTTTGGGTGGGGCTGGGGCTCCTTGAGAGTATGTGGCGATCCCTGAGAAGACAGGAGCACAGTGGGCAGGGACTCGGACAAACCCTGTCCCAAGACACTATGGGAAGGGCTTAGAGAGACCCCTACCCCTATGCGCCTTGGGAAGGGGCTTTAGGAGACTTCTGGGAGGTGGCCCCAGAGGATAAACTAAAGGGTTTAGAGAGAGTCACCCTCACCTTCCAGGAGCTCTGTGGAAGGAACCCCTAGGACTGTGGGAAGGTGTTCAGAAACCCCCATCCCCTAGCAGGATGGTAGGGGATAGAGGTGTCCAAGAGCATTATGGGAATATGGGAAGAGGCCCCAGAGCACTGGGGGACCCAGAGGAGTGTGAGGGCAGAGCCTCTGCTCCAGGGAAGACCTTGGAGGTTACCATTCAATGGTGATGGCCCCCAGTCCTTGGGGCTGTCCTCAATTTGGGGTATTCATTCCTCCTACCTTTGGCTTCAGAGCCAGGGAGGGTCCCTGGATGGATGGATAAGCCAGGAGAAGGCAGCTCTTGCCTCTAGGGATGTCACTTGGCTCTTGGGAGCCTTCTCCGGCCCCCAGGTCTCCTAAAGGGGAGCCCACTCCTCTCCCTGACCCCCCATACAGCCCTCCCTTTCAGAGATCCCATACTCTCTCCCTCCTTGTGCCCCTACTGGCTTCTTTTTAAGTTCCAGCAGTGGGAGATACAGCTGACCAGATGGAGGGCTCCACTGAATACCAGGGGCAGTTGGTGGTAATCGCTTACTCACCTCCCCGATCCCCAGTCCTCCTAACAGACAAGGAGGAGGGGCAGCTGCCACCAGAGGAGGTGCTGGATGAGGCTGTGCCAGGGTACCGAGCCCCAGAGAGGAAGAGCCTCCTAGAGATCCAGCAGCTGGACCCAGATGATGAGAGCCTGGTCAAGTACAAGAGGGTGCTGCTAGGGCCCCTACCACTGACCGTGGGTATGCACCGGCCCTGGGAATGGAGGGGTGGGGCGGGATGGGGGTGCATCCTGTAGACTTCCAGTTTCTCCTCAGACCCCAGCCTGCCCAACGTCCAGGTAACCAGGCTGACACTGATGTCTGAGCAGGCTCCAGGGCCCATAACCATGGACCTCACAGGTAACCCCTTTGCAAACCGCAGACTGATCTTGGGGATAGAGACCTCTTAGATCCCTGCTTCCCACCACGGGGGATTCCTGGGCCAGAGTCTCAGCCATTACAGGAGTTCCTTCCTCAGCTGGCTTCTCCTAACAGGGGAGCTGGCTGCACTGAAAAACCAGGTGTTCGTCCTGAAGGAGGGTGTTGATTACAAAGTGAAGATTACCTTCAAGGTGAGGGTAGCTGTCATGGGGGACCTTAGTCAGCCACAGGTTCAGCCCCCCAGAGGGACCTCTAAACACTCTCTGTTCCTCAGGTCAATAAGGAGATTGTCAGTGGCCTCAAATGTCTGCATCACACCTACCGCCGGGGCCTGCGAGGTGAGGGCTGTGTGCAGGGGGTGGCCTGAGGGGCCACTGGGCGGGACTGGTGGGACAGAGGGCAGCCCCTAATGTCCTCTCCCTCCCACAGTGGACAAGGCCGTGTACATGGTGGGCAGTTATGGCCCGAGCGCCCAGGAGTATGAGTTTGTAAGTCCGGTGGAGGAGGCACCGCGGGGTGCACTGGTGAGGGGCACCTATGTGGTCACATCCTTCTTCACTGATGACGACAGGGCAGACCACCTTTCCTGGGAGTGGGGCCTCCACATCTGCCAAGACTGGAAGAGCTGAGCACCACCCCCTGCCCCGGGAGCGGTCTTCCCACTTGGGGTCCTTGTTTCCCCTGCCTCTGTCAGTCACTGCACAGGGATCCATGCGCATTCCCCAGCCCCCTCAGTCAGTGACCAGACCCCCGCGCCCTCTGCCCTGTCTTGGGACACCCCCTCTCCGGGCTTGGTGCTGTGCCCTGAATAGTCCTATTAAACGTCACCCTGTCTCGGTGCCCTCGGTGTCGCCTCTGTCTGCCTCCCCTCCCTTGGGGGTGGGGAGAGCCTTGTGGCCTTATCTTCCCTGTGACCAGGCCTGGGTGCCACGTGGCGGCTGCTGCTTGGCCCCCAGCCCCCTTATCTGCCTCTGCCCTGTGGGCCCCGGCACTGCCATGGACAGCCAGCTCTTACCTGTTCTGTTGCTGCTACTGCTCCGGGCCTCAGGCCCGCGGGGCCAGGGGCCAGGGACCGACGGTCCCTCAGGGGAGCCCCCCGAGGAGGGGGTCTCCGAGGAGGATGGGGTCTTGGTGCTGAGCCGGCACACCCTCAGCCTGGCCCTGAGGGAGCACCCTGCTCTGCTGGTGGAGTTCTGTGAGTGCACAGGGTCAGCAGGGCTGGGGGTGCCACAGGGGCCGCCCAGTGAGTTCGACCCCTCACATACCCGCGTTTCAGGGCTTATACACTTGAGGGGATCTTCCCAGTGGATACTTGGCCTCACTGTGCTCCTGGGGCTCCATTGGAAGGCACCTGAGACAGAGCCCTAGGGCTGAACTGGACCTGGGGGTTCAGCCCCAGTCAGTGGGAGGGAAGAGGAGATCCATGGTAATTATCCTGCTATAGACTCTGTGAAGGGCCAGACAAAACTCAGGCCTTGCATATTCTTGAGTGGCTTTTTTACAACCCTTTACACATGTAAAGCCATTGAGCTGGCAGGCCTCAACAGGCAGTGGCATATGACCAGGAGCCTGGCCTCTGGGAGTAATGGAAGTTCTTCTCAAACTCACTGAATGGTGCTGACCGCTGCACCCCCGAGCTGGGGGCCTTGAGTAGTCTGATCTCTGGTGCTTGGGCTTGGTGTGGCTGAGGCTCGGGAGGGCCCCTGAAGGAAGGAGGTGTAGATAGGACATGTTTCGTGCTGGACCTGACTGATCCCAAGGTCTGCCAGCTCTGGCTGGGCGGGAGCAGGGGCCGCAGCTGGGGTCGTGGGGGCTGGAGGCACTCATGGCCCTATCTCCCAGACGCCCCATGGTGTGGGCACTGCAAGGCGCTGGCCCCAGAGTACAGCAAGGCGGCTGCCCTGCTGGCAGCAGAGTCAGCCAAAACCAGGCTGGCCAAGGTGGACGGGCCTGCGGAGCCGGAACTGACCAAGGAGTTTGCTGTGACAGAGTACCCTACTCTGAAGTTCTTCCGTGACGGGAACCGCACACACCCAGAGGATTACACTGGTGCGGGGGCAGGCATGTTCGGGGTGGGATGGGGTAGGGCCTGGGCCTGGGCTGAAGGGACTCTCCACAGGTCCCAGGGAGGCCAAGGGTATCGCTGAGTGGCTGAGGCGGCGGGTGGGGTCCAGTGCCACACAGCTGGAGGATGAAGAGGGCACCCAAGCACTGATAGATGCCCAGGATGTAGTGGTCATTGGCTTCTTCCAGGTGAGCTAGTAGCATGGGGGGTGGGCAGGCCTTAGGAGCAAGGCTTGTGGCTCCAGCTGTCCTCATAGGCCTGGGCCCCTTAGGATCTGCAGGATGAGGATGTGGCTACCTTCCTGGCCCTGGCCCAGGATGCTCTGGATATGACCTTTGGCCTCACTGACCGGCCACAGCTCTTTCAGACTTTTGGCCTCACCAAGGACACCGTGGTCCTCTTCAAGAAGGTGGGTCAGGGCTGGGGTTAGGGCCAAGGCAGGGGTCGGGTTC